GCTTTTAAAAAGTATAGATTTGGTTCGCACCTCGTTTATGGACCACCCTGTATATTTAGAAATAATTGTTAAATATAGTCATACAACTTTTATACTAAAAATTTCGTCGTTTTTCTAATAATAAAACAGCTATCTATCAAATATACACACTGTACATGTGTTATTGGCTAACATATTGGTATCGTTGTATAGACAAATTTTTAAGGAATGTTATGATAAGATAATATACACGATGATGCATTTTACAAATTGAGTAAATTGAACTTAAAATCAGTTCTATCTCCACTATTCGTTAGCTTAGTATCTTATAAGTCTGTATATTAAACAATTTTGAGATCAATGTAAACCTACCTAAATTATGATAATTTAATTTGCGGTCTGCATCATTCTCTAATTTCAAAAAAAATTAATGCTTGGCAATACTGTAATATTTTATAAAAATATTCTAGGATTGAATACAGTATTACTAAAATATTCTAAAAATAAAATAAAATACATACATTTTTATTTGCCAGGAAAAACGCAATACCCTGTATATCCAAAAATATTTTTTAAATATCTATTTTTCAAATCTATATAACTTTTATTAGATTAAATTTGAAGTTTAAAATTTACTGTTTATTCATTTTTGAATTATCGTCGAAACCTAAAATACAGTTGAAAACTAGAAGTCGAAAAAAAAAACAATCCTATACTTTACTGGATACATGAAAGTTAAAACCTAATTTGAAAAAAAATACATTTAAGCATATTAGATTTGTATAATTATTAGAAATATTCAATTTTATAAAACAACTAAAGGCACCATTAACACTCTGGCTCCGATATCCAACAAAATAAGCAAGCAATCGAGTTTTGCTAAGAGGCCGTTTAGTCGTTTTTCTAAATTTTTACCACTTCCGTACAGACATTTTCCGGGCCACAAAACGTAAAATCAATATCTCAAAGAGGCTTTCTCTCATTACTTACATATCCTTCATGCTCTTACGCAAATATTGAATATGTTTAATAATTGAAATAATATGCATATTAATTAGTAAACTCCTAAATAAGAACCTGCGTATTTGAATTTATTTCGAGACGACTTTAGCGCCATCTATTAGAGAAGCTCCGAATTAACCTGTGGCTACTTGTATGCAAATTTAAGAAGTTTTCTTTTATATTCTATGCAATTTTACATATAAATGGCGATTTATAATTTCTTCCAAAATTTACTTCAATGAGCTTTTAAGGAAATTGACGCAATTAATTTAAATATTTTAAACGACATTTGTTGCATTAGTATATAGCCTATTCAAAGAATTATTTTCATCATCGGGTAATTATTACTGGTATATTTTTAGCTTTATTTCATCGTAAAAATTACCATATTTTGGGAATTATTTTTAAACGATCCCTGATAGTTAGAGACACCAAAAACCTTTATTGAACAGTAGTATATATCTATTATCGGCAGGAATTTTTTCACTTTTCTCTTTGTTGTAGTTTCAGCTAAAAAGTCATTGAAAAAGCGTTGTGTATGCCTATGTTAAATACATTGCCCACGCCCGCCCTTAACATTTTTCTAGTTGTCGATGTGTATTTTAAATAAATAATACCTTCAATATTTTTTTTACTTCGACAGGCAATAAAATTGGTTACAAACCTAAACCGCTTGATTGCATATAGGCCATAAAGTCTCGGAAATGCCCCAAGTCCATTCGCTTTCTTTGTTTAATTGTAAAATGGATGAAATTAAAAGTTACTAGATTTTGGCACGTCGTAGAATAATTAAATCATGTTATTATGTTAGATGGCAGTTATCAAAATAATTTTGAATTTGTTAAAAATTTGTATATTTTGATATTTCAAAAGTTTTTATAAGTATTCAACAAATGGTAAAACGATTTAGTAATCAATTTAGTATTCTATCAAAAACTTTAATCTCAAACGTAGATTTCTATTTTAAGAGACACAAATCTATTTGCGAGACTCTTGGAAAGAGGTACAATCAAATGGCTGCAGAGCCATTAAATATTTCGCAGAAAACTATCTATAAACTTAGTAAACCAACAAATTCTGATACAGAGTAAGTAAAAATAATTTCTAAAAAAGTAAGTCAAAGTAAAACAAAAGTCAATTCTTTAATATTACGTAAGTGGGGGCAAGTTATATATAAGATGTACCAAGGTACGCAACATGTAACAATGAAATCGTTACATGAACGATTTTCGGAAGAAATAACTGATGCGAAATGTTCTGCACGGTCAACTAATACATGGATTCGAAAAATTGTCTTTCGCTTTAAAAGAAGACAGTTTTCATTGGAACAAACATCAATTCAGTATAAAAGTGTCGTTTTTGAAAAATTGTACCAATGAGATATAGAGCTGGGTAACTTAGAGCCTGTATTTATTGATGAGACGTAGCTAGCAAAGGAAGTGACAGAAAAAGTTGGCAAGATGGAACGACGGTTATTGCAAGTAAAAAAACATGAAATGGAATTCGATACATAATTGTCCATGGTGGCAATGAAGAAGGATTTATAAAAAATGCAGACCTCATATTTAAAAGTCAAACAAAAAACGGGGATTACCATTATAAGAGCACACAAAATTTATACATAGTCTGGAACATCCTTCTTTGATTATAATCGATAATGCCAGTTATCATTCGCGGTACGTGGAACCAATTCCGTGTTATAGTTGGACAAAAGACAAAATTGTAAAATTGTTGTAAGAAAAGAACATTAATTATCCAACCAATGGTATGAAATATCAGATTTGGGAAGTTGTATGGCAAAATCTACTACGAAAAAAATTCCACCTAGATAGATATGTTGAGAAATATGGGCATAAAATATTAAGAACTCCTCTATATCACTGCTAGTACAATGCGATAGAGATGGTGTGGTCACAGTGCAAACGGTTTTATGACAATAAAGTCGTCACCTAAAGATGTATTTCAGACTTGATCAAAAGCTTTGAATATTGTTACCGATACTCAGTGGGACAATTATGTAAGACACACTAAAAACATAATTCCGATTGGGAAAAATACAAGCAATTAGATGATTCTAATCTAGAACCAATTAATATTAATTTAAGGCTGTATGTCACGATACTAAATTAAGTACTAAATTTAGCACTAAATTAAGTCATTAATTTAGTACTAAATTTAGAACTAAAAATATTTTTTTTCCGTTTGCAACGATACCAATTTTTAGTACTAAATTTACTATGGTTGCACGCGCATTGACGTATTAATACGTGAAATTAGTAGAGAAATGAAATATTCTGTGTAAAACAGACAAGTGAAGTAAATGGTGTTTTTATTATCAATCATTGCGTTCGGTTTGCCACGTTCCTTTAACTCCTTTAACACTTTTAACTCCAAACGACTCTTTTAGCGTTCGGTTTAGTCCGATTAGTGACAGTTTAACACGCTTAAATGTCATTTAAAAGCACCCTAAAATTTGTCCCGCTCCAGCCCCTGACTGACCGAACTCGGCTATAATTTGATACTAGTTGACTTGACAACCAAATACAGCATAAAAACCACGGAAAAACACAATAAAACCTACAAAATAAAAGGGTACAGAAAATACCGTCGTGTCAACTTTTTCTATGAAAAACTTCTGCGCAACATTTCGGCGCACTTTTAGTACTAAATTTAGTAGAAAATAGAACAAGATCTAATTAATTAATGACTTTTTTTAGTAATAAATTTAGTACTAAATTTGCTGTTTGCAACGTGAATTTTTTTAGTACTTAAAAAATGCATTAATTTAGTTCTAAATTTAGTACTTAATTCAGTATCGTGACATACAGCCTTTAGGTACAACGCAACGGCAAGTAGTGATGAGTCTGAATAAGAGTCCAGTTATATGAATTATCCAATAATTATTTTTTATGTCTTTTGTTATAATATATTTTTTTAACAAAGAATCTGTTTCACGAATTTGCACCTTTTTGAATTATCTTTAAAAACTCTAAAAACGCTACAAACCAATGTTCAGCTGGGCAATTTATTTACGAGTATAAAGTACAAAAGTAAATTGTTCTAGTATTTGTAGACAAAATGTAAAGCGAAATCTTAATTTTTTCAAAGTGACTTCATTTGTTCGTGTAAACGCACCTTAATATAATTTACGCTGCTAAAAGCAACAACAATGCTCAACTGAAATAATAAGATACGTAACATATCAAAAAACCATAAACCAATCCAAAAAACCATTTTAAACGAAAAGAAGTAATTTTATCGATATTGATCAAGAGTCCCTTTTTTATTTTTAGGTTTAAGCTGTCCAAAAATATTATTCTTGTGTCTTTATCATACAGGGTGTAAAACATATTAGCATTATTGTGTTAAAGCTAGTTCGTCTCTGGCAAACTAAATAAGCCAAATGTGTTTAAAATGGTCCATTTTACGAAGATTTATATAGTATCCATCGTATTTAAAAATTATACCAAGGAATTTGAAAATTATTAAAAAAAAAAGATTTTCAATGGTGTAAATTATGGGAGCATGAGCATATCATTATATGAACTTGCCTTGTTATTTGTATGTGTTCTCTCTGAATCCAGGAAATTGCCCACATAATCTGGGGTATGTTACGGTTAATGTAACACATAAAAGTAACTTTATTTCGGGCAACAAGACAAGGGTATTTAACATTGACTCAGTGATAGCGCGTAAGCAATTCGATAGATTCCAGCCAGCCAGAGCATAGCTGGCTGGCCGTCCCTTGTACCACCAAATAATGAAATAATTACAATAATTTAGTTACAAACCGTTAATCTTACAACAATATTAAAACAAATTATAAAAGTAATTTTAAAAAAAAACGACTCTAAAATCCAAAATAAAAAAATATTCAGACGAATTGAGAACATCTTTTTTTTAAGTCGGTTAAAAACTAAAAACGTATGCCAGAATCAATGGCAGGATGACGACACATTAATGCGGCATATAGCGCGTTTACCCCACATGGAAAATTAAAATTCTAATAAATGACTTACCAATCTCCAATCCTTCTTTAATAGTGTCATTTTCAGTTGTTAGAATATTTAATAGTTGTTTCGGCAACAATAAATCTGAAACATTAGAAAAGGGATAAAGAATTAGGTAAGAAAGGAGGCATAGTTGCAGCTTTCACTAACGTCTCTAAATAATCTATTTTTCCTTAGATAACCAATGTTATCCATTTTTAAAACAAAAATAATGAGGGCATACAATAAAACATTTATTTATTTTTAAAATATTTATAGAAAAGTCCCTATTACATAAGACATTCCTTTTATAAATGTAAATATTCCGGGAGCAGTAGCCACTGTTGAATATTAGGCATTCCAAACAAAATGGTTGCCTGTGAGTATTGATATGGCAACAGTGGGATCTGGTGGATTTGACAGGGTCAATGGTATAGTTATATAGTGATCATCCATATGTTTTCAAAATAAACATAAGCCCAAGCCCTTTGGAGTAAAAATGTGTCGGTAATTGTTTTTTTTTTGCTATATTCAAAGGCTGGAAATTGGATTTTAAACTCATTTTTGCTAAACCGATTCTGATTAATGAGCACTTACGAGGCAATATGGCCACCTGCAATGCGACCTGCTTTGATACATCTATACAGGGTCCCTACCAGAGCTGGGGAGGATTCGAATCACATAGGATTAGAATCCCAGGATTCGAGAGCGGTATTCGAATACTTATGAAAAAAAGGATCGGTGATACGGATTGGCCGAGGAAATCCTAAAGGATTCGTATTCGAATCACAAATATTAGTCACGGATCCTTTTAGAGACCAAACTACGCCGGCGGTAATGGTCGACTCAAGCTTTGATTTGTCGCGAAGTGTACACTGATAACTGAAACAAACTGAGACTAAAGATCCATTGTGGATATTTGGAAGATAAACATAATAGATTACAAATTAGCAATAAATATCCAACATAAAAAATCCTAAAACTAACACTTGCCTTCTTTCGTCTGGTGCAGTCGAACAATTATTTTTATTTGGAAGTATCGACACACCTCGAAGGAACGGCATGACAAACTTTGAAACTTTGTGAGGCCAACCAAAAGATTTTTTTTTCATTGTTTTTTGTATTAAAATTATTAGATTTTATATTTTTGTAATTTTAATAATAAAATAAACCAATTTCAATGCAAGCATAGTTATAAAAAAAACGGTCCGTATTGTACAAAGCTCGTGATTAATATGCCTTTAATGCTTACCTGGTATATAACCACTTGGATATGCTTGTTATTGTTAACATAGCGGCATAACGCAGTATATTTAAGTTGAATTCTTATCAACGCTATCAAAAATAAAATAATTTTTTTGTAAATTCTAATTTACTTATGGTTCATATAGTTTTATTATTCAACATCTTCTTGAATCAACCATTTTTATGTACGTTATAGTCCGTAAGAGGCACATAATTGATAATAGACAATATTAGATTCGGAAGCATACATAATACCATACAGTGATCCGTATTCGTGATCCGAAAAAATGGATTCGAATCACTTGATTCGAATCCTTTTTTTTTTTGTAAAAAGGATTCGGAAATAGGATCCGTGATTCGGATCACAGCTCGTGATTCGGATTCGTGATTCGAATCAATTTTTTGAGGATTCGTCCCAGCTCTGGTCCCTACTATTTCATAGGGACAATATTGCTATTTCTTAAACGGTAACAGATAGTAAGTTGGTTAAATTAGACAAAAGTTACGCAGTTTTATGCTCGTTAAAATGGTATCAAGAAACCTTTGATATCTACAGGAAGATTCAAAATATTGGACACAAACTGAATGAATTTAAAAAAATGACAATTTTCATTTTTTGACCGATAATTTTAATCTCCCTGTGGATATAACAAGGTTTCTTGGCACCATTTTAATGAGCACAAAACTGCACAACCTTTGTTTATTTTAACCAACTTTCTATCTGTTACCGTTTAAGGAATAGCAATACTGTCGTTATGAAATAGTAGGGACTCTGTACCCTGTATAACTATGTACGAGTATATCATTGAGCCTGGCAAAGTCCACAGGCAGCAATTTTGCCTAATCAGGGCATTTCAATGACCTCTCAAACAGTACCTGCCAGTGGGAAGAGCTCGTATAACTAAGGGGGACATAATAGCCTTCAGCCTATTTAAATGATGATAGTATGACATACTAGTCATACTACATTCCCTTTCGGAAGGCATGGCATATAAATCTATTGATCTTGATGACCCTAAGAGGAGTTAGCAGGGGGTGGACGGAATGGGTCTAGCAGGTTTCGATCCAGTTTATACATTTGTGTGAGCGTGTGTGTTTGTTTCGCTTCCATGGAAATATAACATCTTTTTTTCTATTTTTCTTGGTTTTGTAATACTTTTAATTAAATAACAACTGTGACTTAATTTCTTTGTAATTTGTCACAAAATGATTATTTACTCCTAAAGCTCTGGAATTTAATATAGAGTAAACAGACCTTTTCGCTTTGAGTCAAAAGACGTGCAAAAGATTGATAGAGGAAGTAGATGTACTAAAAGAAAGGCATCGAGTGAAAAGAACAAGACGAGGTACTTTCTAAACATAGCGCTTGTAGTTTGTTTTTCTGTACCTTAGAAAAATACAATTTATAGAAAAAAAGATTGTTGTATTATTTGATGTTATTGGAAGCTTTAACATTTTTTGATTTATAGTGAAACAATAGTTTTTGTTGCCCTGTAAATTTGTATAGAAAAAATATTTCTGAATCGATGTTTGAATTTCCCGCCTTCATTTTAAAATTTTCCTACTATTCCACAGCAGTAAGAAAACAAGAAAATTGACTAGTGGCGCCATCATATACTGGTTGCCATTACAATCGCCCAAACAACTTTTAGCGAACAAAAAAAAATACATTGAGTTACACGTCTCACTGGGTTGTCTCTGCTATCCAAAAAGCCGACAACATTCCAAACCTGTAACCCAAATTTTCAATTCTGACTACATTCGTGATATCATTTACAATATATATAAGAAGAAACAACAAGTAACTCTTGCGAAATTACATGAAACTTTAACGCAAAGAGAAATATTTACGGGCTTACAAAAAATCGTTGTATAGAGTGTGAACCAATATAGGATTTAAATGCAAGAAAGATGATCCCGGCGCGGTCTTATGGAACTTCCTCATGTTGCCAGTAAAAGATTTAGTTTTGTACTTATGTACAAAAAATCTGTGTCTACCCAGACAGCACACATTATCCAATGGACGTCCACTTTAGATCCATTTGAGAGACAGAACGTCCATATCCTTATTCGGACATCCAGTGTACGTCCGTTTAATCATTGATTTGACAGCTGCATATCAATGCCCAGAGGACGTCAGTTTTTGGACTTAATTTTAAGTTTAGCATTATTTTTACGTCCAGTGGACGTCCATCTTAGGTCATTATTTATTTAGCCTACCAGATAATACCCATCTATATACACTTCCTTTTTTCGTTAAAAATTGACAAATTGAATATATTAAATTTCATTCTATCAGCGGAAGTTTGAATTCTTATTCTATTAATACCGTATCTAGTAAGAATTTTTTAAGTGGCTCCTTGGTCGAGGTTGCCTAGCGCTTGAAAGCCTAGAACGACAATGGACGTGTCGTGAGTTCGATCTCTGGTTAGGTCGTGATTTTTAATTAAAAAAAAATGGTGTATAGCGGGTTGCGAAAATAATAAATTATTAATAATATAAAATAGTGTGTGGTGAATTGCGGTTGTGTAAAAAAATGGGGATGTGGTCTCAATGGAATATAATCTAGGAATGAACGTTTTTTGAATGTCAATATTCAACTTCCAAATATAATTGGACGTTAATGGTCAAAAGTATGTCATTTGTATACTTCACTGGATGTAGATTGGATGTCGGAAGTCCAGAAAATAGTAGTTTACGTTACAAGACCGGAAAGTAGTGTTTTACAGGTCGAGACAAGCAGATTCCAGGGCGAGCCGTAGGCGAGTCCTGGAAGCTTGATGAGACCTGTAAAACACTAATTTCCGGTCGTGTGACGTACAATATTTTTTTAAGACCGACTTTTTAATGTAAACTAATTTTATTTATTTTATAGTTATAATTAAGTAATAATCAACAAATACTACATACAACTAATCAGAAACTAGATAATGCCTAAATTGGCCAAATACATTATTTTTGAATATTTATGTTAAATGTACAATTGTGAACGTTAAATATCTGAAGGGAAGATGTGTCTGAAATACTGGGAATTGTTGTTTTTTGTAGCGGTACTAACAAAATTAGTTTGCTGCATATTGTTTGTGGAACATCCCGCATGGATTTTGTTTGCTATATCAATTTTGTTTTTCATTGAATTTTCAAGGTAACCTGCTACGGTTGAGGATTTCCATCCTCCGTGCCGTTTTAAATTTATAAGATCACCCCTCCATCTTCTAGCAGAGTCGCTGAGCTTCGACGAAAGCAGTGACCTGTGAATTCGCTTGGATTTTCCAATTTAAGATAGGAGGCGATTTTGCTAGGGGCTTTTCCCACAGAATGCAAACCTACTGCTTGGGTTGAACACTTCCCATTTAAAAAAAAAATAAATAGTCGTTTATGGTTGGTATGCGGTGGCCTCAATTGCAAATAATTCCTATAAAGTTGCAAATCTCTTTGCGAATTTACAATAAACGTTCTGGTGGTATTCGTTTTGGTTATGGGGATTTTAACTATCAACATTGTTTCCTTATCCTCGATATCATTAAGTGTCATATTAACGAGTTCTTCGCGGCGACATGCACCTGCGGAACCCATAATTAAAAGCACCTAGAATATAATTAAAATTTATTGTAATAAGTTTTTACTTCGTTTCTTTGATTTTAACTTACCTTAAGCATAAGATATTCGATATCGGGAGCATTGTTTAGAAATGTTTCGATTTGTTCTCTTGACATAATCTTAGATTTCTTTGCTATATGACCAACCGATTTCTTTTTAATAAACGCTATTAATTTGAAAAAATTGTTCATATTTACATTATCTTTTACAGTCATCGTAGATTTCAACATGGAATATAGGCTCCATAATGATGAAGGATCCAGTTTTTGTGATTTTTCGGCAAAATATGCCAAAAGCACTTTTTCGTTTACATTTTTTACTTTTTTTTCTCGGCACCAATTTTTAAATGAATAGTATGTCTTTTCATAGCGGGTTTTTGATTTTATTGGTAATAAATCGTAAATAGCTTTCTTCGCTGTTTCTAAAATATCTTGTGGAATTTCATTTTCAGCATCTGAATCCATATTATTTGTAAATTTGAAAACTCACAAATCAAGTTTGACATAAACAATAAATTAAAAATCAACGAACTGTCACTTGACAATAAATTGCAAGGCAGCCTGGATTAGCAAACAGCGATTGGAAAAATTGAAAAAGAGGGGACCGGTAAAGACTATTTTTACCGGTCCCTAGAGTCTACTTTCTGGTCTAGACCGCCAAAACGTTACTTTCTGGACGAAAAATTGTCCAGAAAGTGTATATTTTCTGGTCGGTCTTAAAAAAACTAATTTTTGGACGCATAGACATCCAAAATTGTATATCGAATGGACATATTTGTACTGTCTGGGTGTATATCCTTTTTTATGCCTTTGTCTTTTGTCTGGATGAATCATGGATAACGATAAAAGGAGCGTAAAAATACAAGAGTTGATGGAAAAAGATTCATTGTTCTTCATGCTGGTAACGAAAATAGATATATTGATAAAACAAAACTGGTGTTCTCATCAAATAGTAACAATCCCGACTATCATGGAGAAATGAATGAAGCAATTTTTTTAAAACGGCTCGAGAATCAATTACTTATGTATTTAACTGAGTCTTCAACGATTATTGTGGACAATGCTTCCTATCACAGCACGTTACTTTTTAAAACGCCCAATTGCTGGACAAATCCTGAAATTCAGGATTGGCTGACGACACACAACATTCAATTTGATCAAAATATGTACAAACAAGATTTATTGAACACAGTTTACAGAAATTAACTACCAAAATTTTATAACTTGATCAACTTGCAGAACAATATGGCTACACACTTATGTGATTATCTCCTTAACATTGTACATTTAACCCAATTGAAATGATATACGGTAGGGATAGCAACTCAATTCAAAATTGTTTAAGTATGTGGAAGGAAGCACTACAGACTGTACCCCCCAAATCTGGTCTAAGTCATACTAAAAAAATTATTCAGAAATGTAGGTACCGTGAAGTTATATTTGATCGGAGGATATTTTATCTGTAATTATTAATTTTAATAATGATAACGATAGTGATTCTTATTTTGAATAAAGCTTTACTTGTTTTTTATTCTAATTATTTAAAGCTTCAAAAGTTTCAATTTAAACATTAGTTTTGTATAAAATGTTTCTTGAGATCCTCGAATTTTGTAGCAGTGGCAACGTCTACTTTCATGAGTTTATGACGCATTGGAAATTTCATTACATTTACTTTAGTAGATGTAAAACATAATTTAATAGGATTTATATTAAAAACTTATTTAGAACTTTGAAGAAATGAGCAAATTTTATTACCTATTATAACGAGTAATTAATCAAAATTAAAATTCCTGGTGCTTCTTTCAGATTAAAGCAATAAAACCAGTGAAGCAATTAAAATAATAAAAAGTATTAAAAATAAAAGCCTTACCAAAACATGTTTCAGCGAAATAAGTTAAATCTTGAGTTTCATTGAGGTCTTTTAAGTTGTTCATAAAAGTAGTCAAAATCCAATGTATGGCCCTGTAAATTTAGTAAGAAATTTTAGATTTAGATTGAAAAACATTTTTAAATTACTTTGCAACTTTTCTGTTTATTTAATCTTTTATAGTAGATACCTACTCAGTGTGTATTTTTTTTACATTCACTACATGCAGTATGGTGCCGAATAGCGTATAAATAACATTTGAAATCCATGTCGGTACTTAAAAAAATAACAACTTTGATTTACTTCAAAACAATACCCTATACATGAAAATTTTAATAATTAGTTTTTATATTTGAAAAGAGCAGAAAAAAAATAAGTTACACTAAAATGTACAGGAGTGGTTCCTAAGTTATGAATAATTATTGATGAAATGAGCAAAATGTATATCTTGGTTATAAAGAGTCATTAGATACTCATAAAATCTAGGTTTATTATATCTAAAGAAATAAATGACAATTCTCAAATGTAAACAATTCAAAAATAAACCGTAAAGGAAAAAGAGAAAAACTCAAAGACCGTGTCACAGAAACAATGGGCGACCACTTTCCCTCTTGAAAACAACTACACCCTTGGCTAATATCGCAACAGGCATTGCATTATATTAAAAGATGAATAACAGATATTGAAAATAATTTTCAACACTCTAACTTTGATATTGCTTCCTAAGAAGAAAGTCATTCTTGGACCGATTTCGTCCTCATTAGGACTCTTCAGCTGCAAATAGACAATCTCGACTCCAGCCTCTAATGGAGTTTTTCTCTTTTTTCTTCATGGTTTATTTTTATTTATTTCAATTTATAATTAGTACGTTAATTAGGCATTTCAAACAAATTAAACGCTGTGCTAAGGGTTGGTATGTCTAAAGGGTTGCGACATATGATGTAGTATATCTACAATACCTACGTGAAATCATAAATAATGGATTAATTTTGAATATTTTATGTTGAAGATACTTCATTTGTTTAACAGTGTTAAGTTTTCGAGTACGGTATGCCGTATATGTGAAATTCAAGAATATGAAGTGAACTAAACCGACTTTCTTACTGTTATTGGCAACTAAAATAAAAGTTCAAATACTATATAGTTTAGATAAACAAAACGCACTTAAAAAATCTAGTGTCACTGTAATTGTCAGTGTGCATTTAGATCATCACTAATTTAGAGTATAATAGGTACATATTTACTATATGTTCTACAAATTTGAATCGATGGAATACAAAAATGTAACTTGCCTTTTTCTTGGATCCTCGATATCCATAAGTTTGAACATACTTGCCAATGTTGATTTGAATTTATTTTTAGAATCGTCTGTTTTAAGAAGTAACAAAACTTCTCCTAAAATTTCGATCCTTGATTTTTTAGACGTATCCATTTTTAAAGATAGCTTATCATTTTTTTCTGTATTTCGTATTTTTTTTGTTGAATTATCTTCTATATCTTCTGTATGATCAATTTCTTCAGCCATACTGCTGCTGATTTGTTTTGTTTTCGTGCTTTTCAGAAACGCTTTTTTTCTCTGTAATTATTAAATAATAGTTTACGCAAAAAGAGTGTAAAGAGACAATAAATTATAATCACAACAAATAGTAATGTTATTTAACGTAATTTATTGTCTTTATACTTTCATTTTTTTTTTAATATCAATTTATAGATATAGTTTATAGATTGAAAAAAATTGTTTATTTTTAACTAAAATTTTTTTAAATAATATGAGCTTCATAGGACTTCGGTTCTCAGCTCATGTCAGTGAATAATAATAATAATAATAATAATAATAATTATGGCCATATCGCAAGAAGACGATGTAAGAACACGACGACGTAGACGGAGTGCTCAATCGTTTGAGTGCGATACGGACAATCCACTTAAGTTGTACAGTATATTTTTTCTACCCACTAACGAAAATTTACAAAATTTAAAAAACTATTTTATTTTTAAGATAATTAGCACAAAAATTTGACATTATGAATTTTATTTATAACATTAATTGAATCTAAATAAATAAAATAAAACATTGGCCTCAGCAGGGATTTGAACCCCTGTCCTCCAAATGGGAACGCTTCATTCAAGCCGTTGCGCTGTCAAAGGCTGAAAATTGGGTTCAAAACACATTTTTTTCTACACCCGTATTATAATAATGCACTTATATGCCCATAATCCGTTTCATAATGATACCCATTATGGTACAGATTTTTCATAACGATACAGATTTTTAATCAATTAGGCATTCCAACGACCTGTCAAACAATATGTGCCAGTGGGAAATTATTGTATATCTAAGGGGGTAGCGACATGTTCTTGCAACTTGGACGCTATTTTTATTCGAAGTAGTAGTCGCCAAGCCTACCAATTTATGAAGAAATGTATAGGTAGGTTTTTTAAATATTATTTTTATTGTGTTTGACATAAAATATTTAAATGTAATCCATTATTCATGATTTTACGTAAAGTAGATAGAATACACAGTATGTCGCCACCCTTATAGATATACCAAACCTTCCCACTGGCAATTCATTTGTTTGGAATGCCTAATAGAAACCCATACATTTTCAATCAAGCATGCTGTGCATTTGACGTTTGTCCCAGGTTCCTATGTTGTCAAAATCAGTACATATTAAATTTTCGTAGATAGCTAAACTTCGTTAATTCTAGTATCAAAATGTCTGATATCAGCGATATAGAAGACTTACCATCGACTCATCCACACATATCGGAGAAATTAGAAAATGCAGTACAAAATATTTTGCCCCAAAAATCTATGGTGATACCAATACCCGAGGTAATACCATTAATTACAATTTTCTAGATTTTTTTTATAGAAATACAAGTAATCACTTTAATTGTGTTCAATACAAATATAATATATAAAAATTTTAATTGACTTCATCATTTGGTATGTTGTATATAGGGTGTGTCAAATCGTGAGGTTACGATTTTCTCAATTTTTTAAATGGAATACCCTATATTAATTAATTGGTGGTATGAGAGTATTCCATTTAAAAAATCAGAAAACCGTTACCCCTCATTTTGAAACACCCTATATACAATATAGCAAATAAATGAAGTCTATTAAAGTTGTTTGATGATGTGAAAACAATTAAATATAAAAAAGTATAAGTTTTGTCAGCCGGTCGTTTATGGACCACCCTGTATATTTAAGAATATTTGCTAAACATGGTCATACAACTTTTATATTAATTTGTTTTCCCATTTCCAATAATAAAACAGCTATCAATCAATTACGCTCTATTGGAACATGTTGGTATCGTTCGATAGGTAAATTTATAAGGAACTTTATGCGAAAATAATATACAGTGTGTTGCATTTGACAAAATTGAGTAAATTGAACTTAAAATTAGCCATATTTAAGACGTTTCAAAACACTCTGTATAAAATAAAACAGTTCTATCACCTCGGAAATGGAATGGTCTACAAAGATCAATCAGAAGTCCATTTTTGTGACAAATGGCGCGAGAAATATTTATTAATCTTAAGTTTTATAAAATATAGGGTGTTCAAAAAAATTTTGAATAAAATTGTTTCTTTAGCCCTTCTTCATTCTACGCCAATGGGTTATGGTAATTTATCGAAATAGAGTGTATTAACTAATAATAACGATTAACTATCATATACATATTTTTAAGTTAAAGTCTTACTGTAAGGGAAGATATTTAGAAAATATATGTATTTATGAAATTCATTTTATCACCCTGTAGAATGAAAACTGGGACGTTTATAGGAAAATTATATTTAGCTTTTCTTTATAATTGATTAATATTTACAAATCCCCAAAATAACGGTCCTTTATTCTGAAAGATCCTGTATAAATATAAAAAAAATTAAAAACTTCATTATCAATTAAACTCAGTTTTTTTTTGGAAATACACATATGAACTCTAGACGTTGCATTGGTACCATATTCTAAGATAACACGCTGCGCATTCACCAATGTGAGAAGTGTTACCCCGCCCCCAAGAAAACAACCTAGCTACGCGCTGGACTATACATATATAAAGCTCTAAAAATAAATAGGTACCTACTTATAAATTTGTCAATTCCATATATGTATCCTTTTGCCTGATATGTTAAAGATATTTTTCACTTTTAAATTTTTTAGGCGTTAAGTGAAATCCTTAACTTTATACCTCTACCTATTAAATACTCTATATTTCAGTAAGTTCCTATTAAAATTTAAGTACAGGTACCTTTTATAACGAGTGATCCATAAAAAAAATGTTTCTAAAGCACAAAAGACTTTTCTACAATAGGTCATGACGGGCTATGAAAGATGAGAGTCAAGCCCATGCGATAACTACGCACGCCTCTGAATTAAGGCCAAACTCGTTTAAAGAATTATACGCTCTAACATGAGATATTTTTTCCTTGGCCTACTTTAGTTTTTGCGGATCACTCCATACTTCTGAAAGTCCCCGTATAAACAATACTCTGTGTGAGGTGTGTGCAATGTTATTTATAAAGTTGCATGACGGCATATGACGCATTATCTCGAACCTCCATCGTACCTCGATTTCCGGACGCTCTTCCCTTCGCAGTTCGCACTGACCTTCAAACTTCAAATAGTTCAAATATTGCTGCGTTTGAGAATCCACATCGGATGCATTTTTTACATCTCGAGCGTTTTTTTATCCACATCGGACACATCTGTCCCATTACATTTACGTATACTGAATCACGTGATCAAAGATTTTTTACATCTCAGATGCATCCGATGTGGATTCTCAAACGCAGCATATGAAGGTTGAAGAACTTAAACTTGAAGGTCAGTGGATCCCTAAAAACTGCGTCAGCCATTTTTCCCTTTCTCCTCAACTCTGCGGTTTGTCCATATCCCAATCCGTTGCGTCATTTAAAATTTAAATATAAATAAATATAAATTACCTTCCCATAGAGCACTTTAAAAAATTACTGAATTCTTTTGGTTATAATAAGTAAAAAATATAGTTTTAATTTTTTAAGCGATGCATTTTTTTTGTAACAATTATATATTTTCCTGTGTAACTAATACCTTGTCACATTTGAAAAAATATATTAAAAACAAAATATCACAAGCAAAACTATATGTAGTTTTATTTATAGGACTATCAAATGTACATACCAATCCACGTTTATTATTTTTTGGAGCCATTTATTTGTATCTCAAGCAAGACAAAAATCACAATTTCGCCGTCTTGCAGTGATAAAATATCTGATAATTCTGATATATCATCAAATATAAAATATATATAAAAAGCTTCTCTGTACTTTACCGAAAACTAAGTATCACTGTCACCACAGAACAATACTGTCACTGTGTGGGAGTAGGCCGTGGAGTAGGCGCAGCTCGTGTCGTAGGTCGTCGTATATCGTATCGTATTTAGATCGTAGACAGTGTTGCCAGAATATAATTTTGTAATGTACCAGATTTGTCTAAAAAATGTACCAGATACTATAAAAATGTACCAGATTTTTTGAATTGTGTTGGTTTGGTTCATTGAAGAGCAAAAAAGGCCTTTATCGAGAACGCACACATACAAGGAAGACCTCAACAATGACAACAATATATTTTACACGTCAAATAGAAACTTATGGTGAGATTACAGAACGTTTACAACTTTGCAGATCTGCAAATATGGCGGCTACTTTGCAGATCTGCAAATATGGCGGACTTACAGATGCAAGTATCAAGTTTTCGCATTCCAAAAAATATCTGCAAATTCGCACTATTTATTGTGGTTTATTACCCCCAACAACACTAAATCCAAATCCACCCTTTTTTTGATTGAATACAGTTCGTGGTGTCAGATTATCGAGTTTTTAAACATATGCCGCGTTTGAGAATCCACATCGGATGTATAGAGAAAGTAAAAGTTGAAAAGTCTTTTGGTAGGTATAATGTTTACCTGCCAGTGTCGTTTCATAGAATAAGTAATTTTAAATTGTTATCGGCAGAACCGGACAATCGCATGTATTTATGCACTATAAATAATTAATAACTATGTATTATAATATCCAAATCATAATTCTACAAAATTTCAACAGCTATTTACAATGTATTAAACTGTTTACTCGAAATTGTTATTAACATCTATAAAATATTTTTGTACGCCAATATATCGCGTCCACTTCGGTTAGATCCGCCGCAAATCTGTCAATTTATGTGTATAAAGTAGGAGAACTGACAGAAGCCTTTCCAACTTTTGCCTCTGCTATATTTGGCCACTGTTACATGACACACCCTGTATAAAAAGTAGTTGTTAAAAAAAATGCGCAACTAAAAATACCAATCCACATGTCCGAGTGTTTTCCCGAACACGCCCCTAGTTCTTTATTACCTAAGCTGTTCCACAGTTTACAAATAAAACAAATGCTTTTAAGTATTTATGAGGTTCTGCCGTTACGTCACAACTCGACATTTGGCACTAGCGCACTTCAAAAACAGATTTGTAACCATGGACCACATTTATAACGCTCAAATGAAACTAGAAGAAGAGAATGTAGTTAATTAAATTCTCCTAACCTCTAATCTTTGTTTTGGTTCGGTTGTGTTGCCTAATCGCCTTTGTGAAATTATGTAGGTTTACAAAAAGGGTAACAAAAATGGAAAACCAGAATTATGAAGCTGGATTAAAAACTCAAGAAGCTATTAATAACCTTTACGAAGAAATATCTACATTGCTTCATCAATATGAGACATCCTACAGGTGCAGGTATTATTTAAAAAACTTTGGATAACAATAAATTGTCAGTCTTTATTTAACAAGTGTGTTCAAGCCTTGGTCTTGCGAAGGGGCAAATTAACTCAAAACTCTTTTTTATCTCTTCTTATTGCTCAATTTAAAAATAAATAAGGTGTACAATAATAGTAATAAAAAAGAAAGAATAATACAATAACATACCAAAAATTAAATATGATCATCCTTAAAGTAAAATAAAATAGATTAGTAACCAAGTAAAATAAAGGATAGGCATTTTACGAAATAATTTTATTTTCAAGATGTTTTTAAATGATTACTAAACGTATTTAAGAGGAAATACATATCCTCACCAACATTTAGTCGGCCTGCAAAGTTTCAAAAAAGATAAATCGAGAATTTTTAATGAATTAATGTATACTTCACGTCGGCGTTGTACTATGCTCACATTGGCATTTCAGATAAGGTATAGCAGGTATAGCCGCTCAGGTACAGAAAGCATAAACACTTGTCCAAATGTGCATGGTCGGCAGGTGAATTTTATTTATTAGAAGATAAAATGTTTGTAGCTGCATCATTTGTGCTGTATTCAAAATTACTGATATTTTGATGATTTTCTATTCATTTGTTAAAATTATTATTTGAGATTGAGGCATTTCAATTAATTGGTAATTATGAAAGATTTAGGTAAAATTTTTATCACTTTCTATACATTTGTTGTATAAATTATTTGAAATTGGGGAATTTAAATTAATTTGAAATTATAAAAGATTTACGTTAAATTCTATATTAAAAATAAAATAGAAAGATAAATTATCGATGCCACAATACACAGAATAATGATTCATTAATTATTTTGTGACATATATGGCTTTCATAATTTATTTTAAATATTTATTAGTTTTCTAAGTAGAGGTTAAAATATTAATCTGTCCTGTAAGTTTTGAGAAACACTTTTAAAAAATTCTTTTTTATTTTTATTTTGATAGTTAAAAACTATGGGTTTTTACAAAATAGTAATTTTTTCGGACACATTTTTATCATTCTGTTGGCATTTTATAGAAAAAATTGTTTGAGTAGGGAAATTTGTAGGTTTTAATTTCTAGTTTTGTATAGTATCATTTGTCCAAAAATCAGGTAAGATATTCTAAAAAAATGAATTTAAATATATTGTGTTTACAGATTTATAACTAGATAGGACAATATCATAAAAACTGTGCAAATCACTTGAAAAATATAGATACAGCATTCATTTACAAATTAAGATGGGGTATGTATTCCTCTTAAGGAACATAAAAAAGTAGATTTGTAATTATTACAAATAGCTATTGCATTACTAATGAAGCTTTCAAAAGGGGAATAGAATGATATAGTATTAGGCAAAGCAGCCACTTTTAGTAGGAGTATTTTTCTGATAAATCAATTTTAAATCAGTTTTTTATACATTACAAATTTTTCAAATATGCCTATATTTCAGAAAATCTAGATCTTGGTTGAAAGATGCTTTGAGTTACAATAGCCAGCGTACAACAGTCAATGCCCTTTCAGTCACATTTGGTCTCTGGACAGCCACATCTCTTATTATAGGATACTTACTAGAAGGTGACAACCTAGCAGGATATGAAGCCATACCAATTATATTTTTATTATTAGTAAATGTCACATTGGAAATTTATGATAATAAATTCAGACACCAAGAAATACCAAATCGGGTCAGATCAGTTTTAGAAAATTTAAAAAAGGAACAGAAAAATTTGGTTTGGACTACTGAACATTATGCTGACCAGTATTCGCCTTTTTCGCCCTGCATTACATTACAGTGGACCTACCGAGATGGCAAAATTGTTAATTTGCCTTGGGCATTGCTGGTTAAAGGAGATATTATTGTTGTTAAACCAGGTAAGAGTATATTAGTGGTATAAGCATAATAAAATGTTGAAAATTATATAAAGTGTAAAATACATGTTTTTATTACTTCAAGAGAGTATGAGATGTGTACACACTGTGTATTGGAGAGGATAGAAAGGAAGTGGACTGTATATTTATGGTGAGGGATGTTAATTATTATTTCTTCGAAAAGTACCCACCCTAACCAATACAAGAGAGCAATTTGCATATGTAACATTCACAACTTTCACAAGAATAAAAGTCAATTATTTATTAAACGATTTATTTTAAAAACAGAGAAGTCAGAATGAGTTCTCACAATATAATTATAAAGATTAAAAAACACGAATAGAAATGTCTTGCCAGACACATGGTAACATTGCATGTGTAGGAAAAAAACCGAATTTTCCTCAAAGTTATATAAAGAAAAAATAGTCAAAGAACTTACAGGTGATCACTTTTTAGTTCTACTAGGTACAAAGAAAAATATGCAATTGAGCTTACATGAGCTTGTATAGGTATAAAGCTTGAAAGAGAGATTCAACATAATTTAAATGAAGAAATTAATTGCCGGCACACAAAATACCCTGAGCAAAACACACAACATTAGGGTTGTTGTGGAAATAAATATTTTAATTGTTTCTACCGTTAGCGCACAAAATACAACATCGTTCTTCGTTGAGTAGTCTGGTACTACTGACTGACTAATTGATCGGGAATCCCGTTAGCTATTTTTTTGAACAGCTCCGTGTGTCCGAAATATGTGCTAGATTTGGTTTGAAATCCGATCAGAGAGATAGAAAAAATATTTTATTTTTTAGAAATTATGTTATGCAGATGGATTTTAATTTGCAAAATCCAACACATAGGGTGAGTCTTAATCTCAACGAAAATGATTCAAATGTTAAAAATAGTTTTATCTCAAAACAAATATTAGTTACTTCTGGTGTCCCAATTTATTTATGATATAACATTGATCATTAAATATACTATTCTTTCCTTATGCTGGCTGATGATATAAAGCTTTTTAAAACTGTGTGGAAAAATGATGATACGAAGCTTTTATAGATTTAAATAATTTAGTAAATTGGTGTAAATACTAATAAATGTTATAAGCTTCTATAGACAATCTCCCAAGACTGTCTCTGAATACCAATTGTATAATAAGGAACTGGGTACAGTGCAAATAATTAAGGATCTTGGAGTGAATTTTGATTCATTTCCTTCATTAAAGGACCAACACATTTACTGTCAGAAATTGTTCTCTTCTATATACATTAAAATTAATACTAAATTTTGTTGTATTACAAAGTGTTTACTTTTTTTATATAATCCTCAATGTCTTTATATGGTGTGATAATTTAAAAACTTACAATGGGCTATATATTTAAGTTTTTATTTAACAACAAAAAGTACCTATGGACACTTATCATTAAAAATAAGGTTTTATTGGCCTTTGGAGCTTTTTAACGTTGTATCCCAAGTAGAGTCTGTTTTTGAAATTGTTAGATATTAATTTTTGTACAATTATTATTTATACCATTGGATAGCATTTTCTATAGACTTTTCAATGATGTATCACAAGTAGGGGTTTGCTATTTAAACTTTTTTTAGTTGCGGTAGGTGGGACCTAGGGGGTTGATGGGGGGTCAGTTCTCTTTTATGTCATTTTAGTTCCCCCTTCCTATCCTAGAAATGGTTTTAAGCATTTTTTGATATCATCTTTCGTTTGTGAGATATAGCCCATTGTAAGTTTTTAAATTGTCACACTATAACTACTATAAAATATTCTGAATATGTTCCAATTTTAAATTTATTTTTGCAGGTCAAACTTGTCCAGGTTACTGTGAAGCATTAGACAAAACTACCGAAATACCTTTATTGCACGCAAAAGAAATATATGCACCTACATTACAAAATGCTAACGAAGTTTTTAGTACTCCAAAGTACAGAAAGCCCTTAGAGCCAAAGAAATATCGACTTCTGGAAACTCCATACTTGAACAATTTAAAGATTTTTCTAGAACAAGCTCTAGATAGACCGGTGTCGCAGTTGAATCAACAAAGGCATTTAGTAACTATAAAAATTGTAGAACAAATGATTTTACCATTTACTTTCGTTTTAGTAATCGTAATTAATTTATTTCGATACTTCTATTTCCATAAGTATCTTGGAAGATATTTGGTATCAAATACTTTATTTATTGTGCCATGTAATGTGATTCTGCCTTTACTTCCTATGATATTTCCTCTATTCTGGAATTTGTCAAATTATTTCGGAGCAGCCAGGTAATTTAATTTAATTTTTATTTTTGTATTTAAGCAAGTACTATAAGTTAATATTAAATTCGTTAGTACAACACAATCGCTGTTAATTTTTAAATATATAGGGGCAGTATCTAAATATTTAGAAGTATAATTCCAATTATTATAAGTCCAATTCATTGATTAACTAATAAAATTACTGGCGGAAAACGCGAAAGTTCGAATCCCACAACCATAGATGTAGAGGAAGAGAGATATAGATTAGTAAGTAGAGTCATACAAACCAAAAAATTAAACTTTCATTTTAACATTTTTTAAACTTCCTGGTAAGATAAAGTACCGAATGAATTGAAACTAGCCAATTTTGCAACTCGATGCAGGGTAGGCAACAGTCTTAAAATGTCAAAGAACTAAAAACCATGTCTTTTTAGCAATAACCGGTTATATAAATTATTTGCCAAATTATGAACAGTTAGAAATAAATAACCATAATTTTATAAAAATTGAAGCAATCCAAAAAGGTGATTAAATATTTAGTGGTGATTATAGATTCACATTTCATTTCAAACATTTTATTCAATTTTTACTTTCCTATCTGTATACAGATATAAGGAAAGTATAGGAATCATGATTTTTTTCGACCTCGAGTTTTCGACGGATTTTTACGTTTTGAGGTCCCCTGAATCCGTTTTGACTATTTTCGCGATGATGTCTGTGTGTGTGTGTGTGTGTGTGTGTGTGTGTGTGTGTGTGTGTGTGTGTGTGTGTGTGTGTGTGTGTGTGTGTGTGTGTGTGTGTGTGTGTGTGTGTGTGTGTGTGTGTGTGTGTGTGTGTGTGTGTGTGTGTGTGTGTGTGTGTGTGTGTGTGTGTGTGTGTGTGTGTGTGTGTGTGTGTGTGTGTGTGTGTGTGTGTGTGTGTGTGTGTGTGTGTGTGTGTGTGTGTGTGTGTGTGTGTGTGTGTGTGTGTGTGTGTGTGTGTGTGTGTGTGTGTGTGTGTGTGTGTGTGTGTGTGTGTGTGTGTGTGTGTGTGTGTGTGTGTGTGTGTGTGTGTGTGTGTGTGTGTGTGTGTGTGTGTGTGTGTGTGTGTGTGTGTGTGTGTGTGTGTGTGTGTGTGTGTGTGTGTGTGTGTGTGTGTGTGTGTGTGTGTGTGTGTGTGTGTGTGTGTGTGTGTGTGTGTGTGTGTGTGTGTGTGTGTGTGTGTGTGTGTGTGTGTGTGTGTGTGTGTGTGTGTGTGTGTGTGTGTGTGTGTGTGTGTGTGTGTGTGTGTGTGTGTGTGTGTGTGTGTGTGTGTGTGTGTGTGTGTGTGTGTGTGTGTGTGTGTGTGTGTGTGTGTGTGTGTGTGTGTGTGTGTGTGTGTGTGTGTGTGTGTGTGTGTGTGTGTGTGTGTGTGTGTGTGTGTGTGTGTGTGTGTGTGTGTGTGTGTGTGTGTGTGTGTGTGTGTGTGTGTGTGTGTGTGTGTGTGTGTGTGTGTGTGTGTGTGTGTGTGTGTGTGTGTGTGTGTGTGTGTGTGTGTGTGTGTGTGTGTGTGTGTGTGTGTGTGTGTGTGTGTGTGTGTGTGTGTGTGTGTGTGTGTGTGTGTGTGTGTGTGTGTGTGTGTGTGTGTGTGTGTGTGTGTGTGTGTGTGTGTGTGTGTGTGTGTGTGTGTGTGTGTGTGTGTGTGTGTGTGTGTGTGTGTGTGTGTCTGTGTGTGTCTGTGTGTGTCTGTGTGTGTCTGTGTGTGTGTGTGTGTGTCTGTATAACGCATAACTCATGAACCGATACACAGAAAAACACCAAATTTTAAACTTAAGCTTTGTTTCAGCGTCTAATGAGCTGATTAGATTTTGGGCAGAGTCGGAACATTTGGGGGGGTACTTTATAGGTGGTCATTTTTATATTTTATGGAATATATCTGTTATTTACGTTTGAAGAAGAAAATTCTTTAAATAAAAGTTACTTCTAATATTATTATCTATAATTTTTGTTCTATACAAAATTTTCCTAAAATGGTCCGTATTCGAGAAATTTGACAAAATGTAAAAAAAATATTTTTTTATAAAAATTGTTCAAATAAAAGTTGTTTGTAATATAATTCTCTATAATTTTTATTCTCTACATAATTTCTCTAAAATGGACCGTATTCGAGATATTTGAGAAAATGTGTAAATTTCGAATTTTGAAGAAAACTCAAAAACGGATAAAGAAAAAAACATTAAATTTTAAACTTAAGGTTTATTTCGGCCTGACGTGAAATGATTAGATTTTGGACAAAGTCGGAACATCTGGGGGGGTACTTTATGGGAGGCCGTTCTTATATTTTATGGAAAATATCTGTTATTTATGTTTGGAGAGGAAAATTGTTCAAATAAAAGTTACTTCTTATATTATTATCTGTAATTTTTGTTTTATGTAAAAATTTCCTGAAATGGTCCGTATTCGAGAAATTTGACAAAATGTGCAAAATTCTGATTTTTATTAGAAAGTTTTTGAAATAAAAGTTGTTTGCGATATCGATCTCTATAATTTTTGTTTATACATGAATTTTCTAAAATGGACCGTAATGAAAAAATTGTAGGAAATTAAAATTTTTCAGTATTTTCGTTTTCCATGAATATCTATAGAAAAATGTTTCGAGGTAGATGTATGTGGACAATGTATATATTTAGTTTATCCTCTAAACATTTATATAACTAGATAGGAAAGTCATGTGTTGGACACATCAGATTTTTAGAATAATTTTACATCTAATATATCTACATATATACAAATAAAAACATAAACTGTACACAGTACAGTATGCGACCTTATCACACGTGAATAAGGCCTAGGCGATCTCTCAACCTGGTATATGTATGCATACTTTAGTTATTATGATTTAGCTATAAATATAGCCGCCCTCACTCCTTACCCAAGGGGTATTAGGAAGGATTATGGTCAGGAATTGTATGTATTTGTGGGTTTGTCGTGTCTTAATTTCGTTATTGTCCCCTGAAAAAGCTAGAAAAAACAGGGTTGTCGTTAGTGGTGTGTGTCTTGTGGTAGTCTATGTGTTTTTGTCATAATTCACTGAGAGGGTGAACTATAAACCACCCGGAAGTGCCTCGGTCGAGTGCGAATAATCGCTATCGGCCGCAATTCAATTCAATTTAAAATATCTTTATTCATTTTTAAAAATTTTGTACATCTACATGAGAATACTGAAATATATAACATACAAATATATATACATATTTCTTCGGCTGGTGTTCTGCCTTTTTCTCAGGCCGATGTTTGTCCTTCCTGTGTATAACGAGTCGACTCCTTACCAGATGAGGTATTATTTGACTATTATGATGGTTTGTGCTACGAGCAGTGAGTGAATTTGTAAAAGAGTTTTGCTCCGTCTATTCATTAATGGGTACAATGACCTCAGAATACCGGAGTTTTTGGCTACCCTGTCTTTAATGTGGGCCTTAAACAATAGCGTTTTGTCTAACAGAAAACCGAGATATTTTACCTGCGTTTTGACCGTGATTGGCTGGTCTTGAACTAGAAGGGGCGTGTCTATGCCTTGGGCACGCCTTTTTGTAAGTAAAATCGATTCAGTTTTATTTTTGTTAATTTTCATCTTATTTTCTGCTAGATAATTCACTAATGTTTCATTAATATGGTTATCCAGTTTGCTGCTCGCTGTTTGAGCTGATTTGTGGCTTGTAAAAACACAGATGTCGTCGGCGTACTGCGCCGTTTGTACCCCATTATGTCCCATTGGTAAATCATGGGTCATGATGGTGTACAAATGCGGCGATAGTACCGAGCCCTGTGGTACTCCCGCCCTTGCTAAAAAAGGTCCTGTTATTGTTGAATTTATTTTAATGTTGAATTTTCTGTCCGTAAGATATGACAAAATTGTTTTGATAATGTGCCCAGGAAAGTCATTCATAAGCATTTTGTAGATTAACCCTTGGGTCCATACGGTGTCAAAGGCTTTTTCTGAATCAAGCGCCACCAGCACCGTTTGCAGGTTCTGATTAAATGCCTCTTTGGCATGATGTACGATTCTCAGAACCTGTGCCACGGTGCTGTGCCCCTCTCTGAAACCGTATTGTTCCTTCGGGATAATCTATAGATTCACATTAAGGGTGGAATTATAACATTGAAAAGATTACTATTATATTGCTGTCATTGCTTGGAAGATTTAGATTTTTCAGTAAAATACAGTTTTAAAAATTCTTTTTCCTACGACCACTTAGGAAAGTGACACATATCACACTATATAGTCCTATGGAAAGTGCCCTATATCACACGCGTATGAATAAGAATTTACTTTCCACCCGTGTACGAATATGCTACTTTCCGCAGCAGCTGTCACAAAATGTCAAAAACATAATTTCTATTTTGATCTATGTAATGCCCATATTAATACTAAAATCGATATGATTGTTAAATTATTGAAATTGTTGTAAATTAGATCCTAGATATTTATCTTTAACAATTATTATTAAAATAATTTTAAAATATCTGCTTTTTATTCTGGTTAAACACATAACCGATTAGATCATTCAATTAACGCAAGGCCTGTTAGCTCAGATGGTTACAGTGTCAAACTTATCAACTTTGCCATTTGAGACCTGGCGAGCGACCGCGTTCAAATCCTGGCGGGGCCAGAATTTTTTTGTTTAGAAAATATGAAAATTGAATAAATACGATTATTGTTGATTATTTTTTTAAATACATTTTAATTATTATAATAACCTGGTTTTTACATTTTTTGATGAAATTATTTTGTGGTCGTAGGAAAAATATTGTACATCACTTGTGTGAAAAGTGATTTTCCACACTCGTGTGATAGTCACACTCGACTTGTGCCTCGTGCGACAATATTTCCAACTCGTGTGAAAAATGTCACTGTCCACACTCGTAATGTAATATACTATTTTATTCGAATGTGACATAGAACGTCGTTTTTCGGACACATAACATAAATGGAGAACTTTTAAATATACTACAAATAAACCACTAAAAAGTTCTTTTAGGTCCCATGCCGCAAAAGTAAAACGGCTTCAA